CGTGCACCATAACTCCCGACATTCCATCCTCGGAGTGCTTTTGTGGGAGACAGGGATGAGAGAGGAGACGTGAAAAGGATCACGTGACTCCATGTCACACGCCGCTCGTGTGTCGAAGCATTTGTGTCAGCGCCACAGAGAAATGTGATCATAGCTTTGGATTATGTGTGTGAGCTTGCTACATGGGTCTCTGTGCACATATCTTTGCATTGCACAATTATAAACGTGTGTAATGGACACAGGCGGCCTGGAAAAGAGTCATCAGAGCAGTTCATCCTCTGTGGTTTGGCTCTGTTACTGTGTATATTTACTCTCTTTCCGTACTTTCTCAGCCCTTCACACAGATGCCCTTTCTTCTTGTCTCTTCCCATGTCCTGTGTGTTCAGTTATTCAGTGTCTGATCACCCCCTCTCTGTCTTCCTCTCCCGACACAGGTGCTGTCTCTGGGTGCAGATGTGTTGCCGGAGTACAAGCTGCAGGCTCCTCGCATCCACAAGTGGACGGTGTTGCACTACAGCCCCTTCAAGGCGGTGTGGGACTGGCTCATCCTGCTGCTGGTCATCTACACCGCCATCCTGACTCCCTACTCAGCCGCATTCCTCCTCAACGATCACGTGGGTTCTCGTCTATGACAGAATCATTAAAGTGCACTTTAGTTTTTGTCTTAAAGTGGTGTTCACATGAAAGATGACACTAGCTTTAAATAATAAAGATCAGCGAATGTGCAAATGCTCACCAAACAGTTTCACTCGTCTTGTAGCACAGAAGCTCCACCAACCTGGAGCCAAGGAAACGTTTGCATAAAGGGAGGCGAAGTTAGCTGAAAGTTAGCTGAATCATCATCAACTTTATTTATGAAGCACTTTAAAACAACCACAGCTGACACAAAGTGCTGCACATTGGAACTGTAAAATAAAATTACATGAGATATAAGTAAAAACCAAATAAAAGAAGAGTGAAATCATTAAATAACTACTTCAATTAAAAGAGAAACTAAGTCTCGCTGAGGTTAAAAGCCAAGGAATAAAAGTGGGTTTTAAGACGTGATTTAAAAGTGGACAGTGAAGGGGCCTCTCTAACATGCATGGGCAAATTATTCCATAATTATGGAGCCACAATAGAGAAGGCCCCGCCCCCTCTGAGCTTCCTCCTGGATCTCGGTACCTCCAGGAGCAGCTGGTCAGCTGACCTGAGAGACCGACAGGGT